CCCTCACAGCACCCCAGCCTCCCGTCGCGCAATGTTTGCCATGCGGTGAACCCGAGCGGGGACGACGCCACGGGGCCGGCCGGACCGGGGCGGCGGGCCGCGCGCTTACTGTCCAGGTAGTGCTCCAAGTACATGGCCGTCGCCATCTTGTCCGCGCCGCGCTCGCCTCTGCGCGGACAGGCGGCGCTAGCGTGAGGGGCGGGGCGCGCTGGCTTCAGTATTCATGAGCCCGTCCGCTGATTGGCGCGCGGCGTGGGCGGGACGAGTCCAAGCTAGCCCCCTGGTTTCCGCCCGGCTGCAGCGCGGAGACACGCGGGTGGGGGTCGGGGGACCTTGGGGCTTCGGGGACGCGAGGACTGAGAGGGCACTGGAGCAGGAGGATTGGGGGACTGGGGGCGAGTACACGACACTGCAGAAGAACGGAGGCACACCTGAGCAGGGAGACGAGGAGACCTCGGGGATGGGGACTACAAGAGGGGGGCTGGGAGGGAACACAGAGATGGGGGCGGAGGTATGGGCACATTGGGCTGCAGGAGGACACGGAGGGACAATTGGGTGGGGGGACAGTGGGATCACAAAGCAGGGCACCCAGGACACAGATGGGGACCACAGGGGGATACAGGGATGAGGGGTACAAGGCTGCAGGACATGAGGAACCAAGCACACGGACATGGGGACTAGAGGGGCCATGGGAGCTGGGGATTAGGGAACACGGGGACTCTGGTGACCACAGGGATGACAAGCAAGGAGGCATGTACAGCTGCACCACCCTTGCTGGGCCCTCAGTGAAACCATCATCCATCCAACCGCCCAGTTCCCCTCACCCTAGCAGGGGCATTGTCCCTGTTCCCTCGCTTATCTTTGCCTCCCACCAGCACATTGGCTCTGCCTATCCCTCCTGATCCATCTGCAATGGCACCCACCTTCATGGACACCTAGCAGGTGGATACACCTCCCTTACCGCCGTCCCTAACAGGAGGGGTGTGCCAATGTGACAACAGAACACAGGGTGATCCATATACTGTGATCCCATGTTGTAACAGGCTACAGTGGGATTCAGTGTGGAGCTATGGGGCGTGGCTTCATAGTGTGATGTGATCTGAAACCGTGTGACATGGCATGGCATGTGTGACAATGCGAAACAGTGTAGCCCCATGGGATACAGGTGGATAGTGTGATATGATGAGATAACAATGTGCTACACTGTAATGTTACGTGATGCAGTGGGATACAAGATACACTGTGATAAAGTTAGAGGGTGAGCTGATGCAGGTGCATGGAAGGGTAGCTAACATGGAAGACACCAGGAGAGAAGAGATGAAGATGTCCTGGGGGGTGAGGGGGGGGTCTGCACTTTGTGATGTCATCATGGCTGGTTTTCACCTGGGTCCAGGGTTCTCCTCTTCCTGGCTGCACACTGGGGTCCAATGGGGCTGCCCAACTGATTACTGGCCAGATGCCATGGGAGAAGAGGGCCATACCCACTTGCTCATGTAAGCTCAGCGCACTCAAATTGGCCAGAGATAGAGGACGCCTGGCGGCTCCAGGGACTGCTGACCCCTGGGAAGAGCCCATGACCAGCCAGCATGATCTCAGGGATGTTAACTATACAAATCAGCACAACCAGACTATTGCAAGTTCTGTTACTTAAAATGTCATTTTAGAGCTGCGTATTCTTTGTAACGTCTCCCTCGAGCCACAGAAAATACTGCAAACATGTTGCTTTTTCCCAGTTTTACTTTCATAAAACTTCAGGCCATAGAACAACTTACCGTTTTCCACCTGAGGGCACAGGACTGTAATTGTCTTGTTGATCTTTGAATCCTAATATGAGTAGTTCAGGGCCCATCCTTCCTTCTCCATTTTTTCTTGATGAGGAAACATACATAGGTGTGTGATTACACATAACTTATTTTTCTACTAACATTTCTAACTGTCCTGGTGTGGCACTCTAAGATAAGCACAGCACTGTGAACAGCAAGGTCGGCAGTTCAATCTCACCTGCTACTCCTCAGAAAGCCCATACAGAATTCTTTAAGTGGGCACCAACTCAATGTTACTTAACAACACATTTTTTTTTCCTTAACTTTTTTAAGCTTTTATTGAGAATTGAGTGTTGGTTTCCAAGACAGATCATCAGTTTGGCACTCAACCAATCCTATTCTGTTTCATTGCAATGATTACCATCCTCTCCACACACCATAGGTTAACAGTATTTACCTTTATTCCCAGTTAATAATGTTGTTAGGTGCCGTTGACCCTTTCCTCCATTTATCATAATATTATTTATTGGTGCAGTGTTGGTGGTAGTGGGTGTCATGGACTTTGTTCCTTCCCACATTGACCCTGTGTACAAAAGGACAAAACACCAACCAGTCCTTACAATTGATGCTACACTTGAGACCATCACTGCTGCCACTGTGCCACTCCATTTCATTAGCAGTCACCCTCTTTACTCTGACCCTACACTTTACCAAGCATGATGTCCTTTCTCCAGGGATGATCTCTCCTGACAACGTGTCTGAACTATGAGAGACAAAGACTGGTCATCTTGGCTTCTAAAGAGCATTCTGGTTGTACTTCTTCTAACAGATTTATTTGTTCTTCTGAAAGTCCATGTTGTTGTTGTTGTTAAATGCTGTTGAGTCACTTCCAACTCTTTGCTCTTAATGGTGGGGTAGGATGATATCAGAAAGAGACAATGGAAAAGCTCCATATCATCAGTCAAAACAACGGCAGGGGCAGACTGTGGAACAGACCATCAACTGCTCATATGCTAATTCAAACTGAGGCAGAAGAAAATGAAAACAAGTCCACCAGAGCCAAAATATGACCTTAAATATATACCACCTGAATTTAGGGATCATCTGAAGAACAGATTTGATACATTAAACACTAAAGACCGAAAGCCAGAAGAGTTGTGGGATGACATCTAGAACATCATACATGAAGAAAGCAAAACGTCATTGAGAAGACAAGAAAGAAGGAAAGGGTCAGAAGAGACTCTGAAACTTGCTCTCCAGCATAGAGATACTAAAGCAAATGGAAGAAATTAAGAGGTCCAAGAGTTGAACAGAAAATGTCAAATATCAGCTCAAGAAGATAAAGCGAATATAAAAACAAAATGAGCAAAGATCTGGAATCAGAAAACCAAAAAGGAAGAACACACTCAGCATTTCTCAAGCTGGGGGGAACTGAAGAAAAACTTGTAGCCTCGACTTGCATTATTAAAAGATTCTCTGGGCAAATTATTGAATGATGCAGAAAGCATCAAAAGAAGATGGAAGGAATACACAAAATCATAGTACCAAAAGGAAATGGTTCATGTTCAACCATTTCAAGAGGTAGCATATAATCAAGAGCCAATGATACTGAAGGAGGAAGTCCAAGGTACATTGAAGGAATTGGCAAAGAACAAGGCACCAGGAATTGATGGAATAAAAATTGAAATCTTTCAAGAAAGTGAGGCAGCATAGGAGGCACTCACTCATCTCTGCCAAGAAATTTGAAAGACAACTATCAGGCCAATTGATTGGAAGAGATCCATATTTGTGCCCATTCCAAAGAGAGGTGATCCAACAGAATGCAGAAATCATCGGACAATCTCTTTGATATCCCACGTGGGTAAAGTTTTGCTAAAGGTAATACAGAAACGGCTGCAAGCATACACTGACATAGAACTTCCAGAGTTTCAAGCTGGATTCAGAAGACGACGTTGAACAAGGGATATCATTGCTGATGTGCGATGGATCTTGGCTGAAAGCAGAGAGTATCAGAAAGATGCTTACCTGTGTTTTATTGACTACACAAAGGTTTTTGATTGTGTAGATCATGACAACCTATGGACAACATTGTGAAGTATGAGTATTCCAGAACACTTAATTGTGCTCATGAGGAACCTGAACCTGGACCAAGAGGCAGTTGTTTGAACAGAACATGGGAACACTGAATGGTTTCAAATTAAGAAATGTGTGCGACAGGGTTGTATTCTTTCACCATACTTATTCAACATGTATGCTGAGCAAATAATCAGAGAAGCTGGGTTCTATGAAGAAAAACATGGCATCAGCATTAGAGGAAGATTCATTAACAACCTGCTATATGCAGATGATACAACCTTGCTTGCTGAAAGTGAAGAGACTTAAAACATTTACTGATGAAGATCAAAGAGCACACTGTTCAGTATGGATTCCATCTCAACGTAAAGAAAACAAAAAATTCTCACCACTGGACCAATAAACAACATTCTTCTCAACAGAGAGAAGATTGAAGTTGTCAAGGACTTCATTCTTCTTGGATCAACCATCAACACTCATGGAAGCAGCAGTCAAGAGATCAAATGACGTATTACATTAGGCAAAGCTGCTGCACAAGACCTTTTTAAAGTGTTGAAGAGCAAAGATGTCAGCTTGAGAACTAAGGTGCACCTGACCCAAGCCATGGTGTTTTCAATAACCTCATATGCATGTGAAAGCTGGACAGTGAATAAGGAAGACTGTAGAAGAATTGGTGCTTTTGAGTTATGGTGTTGGAGGAGAATATTGAAAGTGCCATGGGCTGCCAATAGAACCAATAGATCCATTTTGGAAAAAGTGCAGCCAGAGTGCTCCTTGGAGGCCAAGATGGCCAAACTTTGTCTCTTAGACTTTGGACATATTGTCAGGAGGGACCAGTCGCTGGAGAAGGATGTCATGTTTGGTAAGGAGGAGGGTCAGAGAAAAACACGAAGACCCCCAGCGAGATGGATTGGCCAGGTGGCAGCATTGATGGACTCAAGCATGGCAACAGTAGTGAGGTTGGCCCAGGATTGGGCAGTGTTTCGTTCTGCTGTGCATAAGGTCGCTATGGGTCAGTACTGACTCGATAGCACCTAACAACAACAACAACCAGACGATATCTCATTGTTTTGATTTGCATCTCTCAGAAACCCTGTGCAGGGTCACTATGAGTCAGAACCGACTCCACAGTGCTTAACAACAGCAACAACGGCAAATGATCCCTGGGTCTCTTCATATGCTTGTTGGCCATCTGAATATCTTCTTTGGTGAAGTGTCATTCATGTTCTCTGCCCAATTTATTTTTTTTTTTTTTATGTTTTATTGTGAATTATGTGATAGTTTACATGGAAGAACATTTGTTTTACATT